CTCGAAAATAGATACATAATTTAAAATTCCGTTACAATACGGAAATAGATTGAAGTTTTCTGATTACAGTGATATATAATTTATATTGTTTTCTAACAAATTGCTCGCTAATTTATGGCAAATGCTGAAGCTCTGCAAACCTTGATCAAGCCTTAATCCAAGCACGTGTGTTTGGAATACTAGGTGTGGCTTTACACGACAAGATCGGGCTAAGCCTTCGGCAGATTTCTGAAATATAATATATATTTCCTTCGGTCACACACCCGCTTTACCCGACCACTGATCCCAACTAGCATTTATAGTGGCAGATACGTAACTGCTACTATCAAAGCCACTACAAAGTGGGCGGTGATCATCGGCGGCTACGTCGTATATTCGTAGCTGCTAAGTAACTGCGACCAAAATGGGGAAAAATTTTGAGTAGCCGGGTAGTGTCTTGGGTAGTTTTTGCCACTAAAAGAGTTACTATGATGTGTTACGATAAAGTAGCCTACTGGTGAATGCGACTTATCCGTTACGAAGCTGCCTAGTCGCGGGTTGAACTGTTGAACGGGTGAAACTGTTGAACTTTATTCGCAGCGACCTCTTCATGCAATTTCACATTTCATAAAAATAAATGTCATGATGGAAAATAATTATGGAAGCCATTATTATTTTTTTGTTATTTGGTATTTACAGTGCGATTTTAACGCCTTTTTTAGGTAAATTCCAGAACGCAATCAACTTTACTGAATAAAATAGTAGGTTTATATTACATTTACAATTACATTTCAAATTATTATATTATTTGCAATAGAAATTCATGTTTGTAATTAAAAAATAATAATAATTTGCTTGAAACCGGGGTCAAACTTTAAAATATTAGTCCACCGTCAGAAATAACAAAATAACTAAGGAAAAAATCTTTAATCTACGTATATTTAGCTTAAAAACGCATAATGTTTGAGCCATTTGGCTGTTTGTTTAAAAATTCATGAAAAAAATATGGCCGTTTAATCCGAAAAATACTTTATAGTTCCACATGCTTCCACAAAGTACCGGGAACAATAACAAATTAGGCCAACTCTACCCGTTTGGACCTTTAAAATCTTCGGATTGATAAAGTGACAATTGTAGCTAACCAAAGGCGACTTTATAAAAACAATAACTTTTTTGGAACTACATGATCAACGATTCTTTGGAACCATAAAGTGATTTTTTTCCAAGAAAGTTTCCTGCGCCACCAAATTGCGACTTAATAGAAGCTTTATGCTACACCGATCGCGGCGGTGGCGACTATACTTGTGACTATACATTCCATTGGTGCCGCTATAACTTATTCTTAATCTAAGGCTATAACGTTCCGCCTTGTCCTTTGAAGTTATTTTTTACTTATTTTGCATTTTCTATTATTAGTGTTTCTATATTATTCAGAGCTACATGAAGTATAGAGTATTTTAACGCCCATTCTTTTAGCTCTTGTTTTATATTGTTGTTGGTTTTCAAATTAGTTCTCCTCTGAGATTCAGTTTCAGATGAACTAACTCATCTACAGAAACAGCTTCAAAAATGTCGTCTTAGTCACTACCTGATTTATGATGTTCATCAGTAGGATTATAGAAAGATGTAGTTTTTGTTTCTGATGTTGATGTATCGGCTCACAGTGATTCTTTTTGTTTAATTCTTCGGTAGAAAGTACTAGAATATATAAGTTTCTTTTTATTCACCTTAGGGATTTTACAAAATTTTAATAAAGCTTAAAAGCAAGTAAAAGAAAATACTAAAATAGAGCAGCACACGATGCATTCTGAGGCAATTACATTAATTAGGGTATATTAAGTTACGGTCCCTATAAAGTAGCCGTTTTTGACCTCCGTGACTTTTTAGTGGCAATGGATGAGTGACGGCTACTTTATAGTGACCTAGGAAGGTAGCAGTAACCATTTTGCTACTTTCAATGCCACTATAAATTAGAAGTAACTAGGTGTCGTGGCCGCGACTACCGCGTAACTTAAATTTGTTACTATAAAGTAACAAAAACTTAATGGAGGCATTATGGTAGCACTTGTTAGTAACCCCTACTTTGAAAAGTTACTATAAAGCTTTTGGTCCTTTATGGAGTCATATTTAAAGATTCGGGTAGTTCCAGACACTTCTTTAAAGTACATGTTTGCGACTTCCAATCAGGGTGTTTATTTTCCACTTTTATGGTAGGTAGGCACTAACCGGTCACTCTCGAAATATACTTCAAAGCGACTATTCCTTATAGAGTAACATTTTAAGTGGCAGAGTGGGCCTAGGAACTATACTTTAGAGGCAGTGACATTTTAAAAAGGACTGGGAACTATATTTGCTAGTTGGGATAGCGACCCGAACAGTACAGCGTAATGGACTCTTAAGGTTATATTAAATTTGTCAAAAAAGTGTCAAAATGTCCGTTATCGTACGATCTTTCTTCGTTGACATCCGTAAAAAATTTACGGATGAAAAGTGGCGCGAAAACGCTATGACCAATCAGTCCGCCGCGCCGTCGTCGGACCGTCCGTCGTCGTATCAACGGAACGGACGCATGGAAATCAAGCTTTAATAAGAATGTATTGTATGGTTTTTACTTCTACAACTAAACAATCGACCGACTCAAAATTGCATATGAGCGCTTGTGCACAGACCGGCAAAATCCGTGTCGGTGCTTGAGTCGATTGCAATATAAATAAATTAGCTCCTTCGCTTATACTGCAATCCGGCAAATTAGTCGATCCAGCAGCATAGGCCGGCGACTACTATAGAATTAAATCAATTAATAATTATTTTAGAAACGTGAGAAAAAAAATAAAAAAACAGACGCCCGCACCGATTTTGCCGGTGTGTGTTAAAGCGCTCTAATAGTCTAAGAGAACTTAAAAAACCTTAACATCGTTACATGGCTAATTTTTTGTGTGTAATCTTTTTTTTGAGTAATAATTTTGTGTAGCCATTTTGAAATAGTCATGTCTGCCAGAGCGATCCCGGGACTTAAAGCGGGGGCGGCCAATCGAAAGGCTGAAATTTTGACACAAAAATATTATAAACTACACTAGTTATAATTGCGAAAATAGTTTTTATTTATTATTAAGAAACGCGGATTATTAAGAAACGTTGGATTGAATTGTTGGCAGACATTTTTCTAGTCGCTAAAATGCCGACAGACCACGCGAAAAAGGCATGAAATTTTAAAAATTATTAAAAAATGAAATTTGAAGAATGACAAAAATTATAGCATACATGCATGCCGATTGGTGGAATGTCATATTTATTTATTTTAAAAGCCGTATGCAAAAGGGCAGACAAAAAGATTGTGGCTAAATCAGCTGCAGACAGTTATCAAAAGCGCGATATTACTCTAGCGCTTTCAGGGAACGCTCGCTGCCTTATCCATTTAAGTATAGATAAATCATGTATATTATAAATTTATTTTTTTATTATTTCAAAACAGATATCATATATTTACTATTCTACTTTTAAGGGTGATATATTTCGACCCCCGGAACACGTCTATGAGTTATTTTTTCGCAAGAAAGATATAGAAAATCCTTGTTACAAATTTGCGTTTTTTTTCTTTTACAAGTTTACAATTTGTATATTTTAGAAAACTTTTTAGAACTGCCTGTTCACCGCAAATTTACCCACGGTGTAATTATTTCTTAACCTACCATGCTTACGGCTTTACTCTATGGCTACGGCACTAAAAGAATAGGTGCAAATACAGAAAAAAAAAACAGGTGGCTCACAAAATTATTTAAAAATAAATAATTTTTTTTTTATTTTCAAACTTGAATAACTCGGTTATTTTGGACTTATTTGAAAAACGGTAAAAAGAAAATATGTTTCTTTAGTCGAGTTCTGAAAATATTTGCACTTATTCAAGATTTACCCTGTAGAGTAATATCTAATATCGCGCTTTTTATAACTGTCTACCGCTGATTGAGCCACGATTATTTTGTCTGCCCTTTTGCATATGGCTTTTTAAATAAATAAATATGACATTCCACCAATCGACATGCATATGTATGCGATGATTTTTTTTGTCAAAATTCCATGCTCTTTCGCGTTGTCTGCCGGCATTTTAACCACGAGAAATATGTTTGTCAACAATTTTACATGTTTCTTAATAATAAATAAAAGCTATTTGACAATTATAACTCGTGTACCTTATAATATTTTTGGTTTCATAATTTCACCCTTTTGATTTGGTTGGTAACCCCCGCTTTAAGCCCCGCCCAAGTAGCAAAAAGAAATTCTAAAAGGATTGAATTATTTTATAACAGTCGAATAGCGTTGTCTTAAGGACTGCTTGATTTTATTAAGCGTTTGGTTTCGACCATTCTGTTTTTTAATAAAAGTTATTTTACGAATTGAGGCATCCTATAAAAATGATCATATAGCTGTTTATACAGCCTTTATAAAATAAAATTTGCTACTTGGGCGGGATCGCGCTGGCAGACATGACTATTTCGCAATGGCTACACAAAAGGATACTTCACACAAAAAAATAGTCATGTAACGATGATAAGGATTTTATGTAGCCAGCTCTACGTCTATAAGATGTACTGAACAAAGAAAGAAGAGCAATAAGTATTTTAGAGAGCATGAAATACAGCGTCGAATTAAATGATTATTTAATAACTATTCACAGTTTTCTCTCTCCCACTTACAAAATCTTATAGAATCGCTCCTAAACATGTAAAACCGACTAAAGATTGTCTCTTGCTGATACGGTATTTTTGAAAAAAAACTTTAGAACTGATTCAACTAATAGACGGAATTTTATTTTGTAATGGTTTTAGATCAGCGCAAATAGACGGACACAAAAAAGATTTTAAAGTTGTTCCCTTTCTAAGTACAAGACAGTTTAAATATATAATTTGTACGGAAATTAAACCGTTTTATAATTACCTTCACATTATATTTATTCACTCACTATTAGTTATTCACACTAAGTATTTGCACAAAATTTACTACACTAAACTTGCAATAAAACTTACAGGAAAAATATTTTCGATATAAAGTTTGCTTCATTAAACGGATGTTTCTTTAGAGGTTTCTCTGTTCCAATTTTATAACTGTCCATAATTGTCCACAAAAATACTGTTCTAAACCTACAGCATCGATTGCTTCACTTCACTCTACCTATTCTAAAAGATAATGTACTACTGAATGAATGACAACCTTATCACAGTCTTATTATAATAAGAATCGCATAATTAGTAATATAATCAAATAAATAATATCAAATAATCCCAAATAGATTACATGTAGTTATTCATATTTAAGTATAAAGCAAATACGTAGAGGTGATATAAATATTTTATTACTCTATGTGATTAAAAATCGTGAAACGCGAATTTATTATCAGCGAGATTGAAGAGATTGCAGAGGAGTAATTATGATTTTTAAAATTCCTTGACAATTCAAAAAGGCTTAAAATTTGTTTGTCGCAAGTTATTCATTTCACGTTTTATCAGTCTGACCTACCTATTACATAATAAATTACGTGCTTCTGTGTTATCTATTTTTTTTAAATATAGCACTTAATTAATTTTATATAAGAATTTTATCAATACTAAATCACTAAAACAAATTAATATGATATTAATCTATAGTATTTAAAAAAGGCTTGGTGCATTTCAGTCGATTGTCAAAATTTCGACAGCAGTGCTCTGTACGGCGGAAATCAGAACTTTCCAACTCTGTATTTCACGCAGACCCAGTTCTCTGTTTTTTTCTAAGGTAAGATTTCGACAGACGATGACAGAAAAAAAGCAGATGACTTCCATACCAATCCATTTATTTCACTAAAAAAAGTTTCTAATATTTTTTAAGGTAACTATGGATGGGTTTATAAGTAAATACGTCATGCGTAGACAAAAACGACAGATCATATTTAGATATTATTGGTTTGACGCTTTGAATGAGAAGACTAAGGAAGGAGCATAATGCTATCCATGTATTCATGCATGGTGGGCGGAAAAAGCACTCTAGGGTGGGGATCCTTGACAGTTCTGTTTGACGATTCATTTGACACATTTGAATTTGATTTGAAATTTTATGGATTTGCCAGTCTTTACGGAGCATATTTTATGTTATTTATTATTTATTCTACTACTGATAGTTGTATAAAGGTAGTAAATCTAGATGGAAATTGTGGCAGAACTTAAATTAACAGTGACACTATCGCGATTTATCGAAAAAGGCTCTAAAATAGTTGGTTGTATAGCGTGCAGTAGATCTCAGCAAAAATCGAGTGAAATAATGGAACAACTTGTCGCTAGTAAGTGACTATATAATATACATACGTGTAGTAAACCGATAATTTATGAAATTCACTTAAATTAACTAATTATATATTTTTTCTTGCATTTTTGCTTTTATTTACTACTTGTCAAAGATTAGATGTCAAAGAATTTAGACATATACAATTTAGATACGTCAATTTGATTTACCAGATTTACCTGCTTCAGTAGCGTATCGGATGTTTGTGTTAATAAATAATTATTATAACTTATCTATTTTTATTAGAATTATATATTTTTGTAACAATTTTATAACTACCAACATTTATTCACAACGTCAAATAAAACAACATATTATTGAGTCTACCCCACGTCTACCCTACATCATAGTTTTACATTTTTTAAATAAAATTAGAACGGCACTGATAAACCGGAATTTAAGTCGGCCATATTTGAGGCCTATCGCGGTGGACCTAAGATTTTTGATATGCTCCTTCCTTAGTCTTCTTATTCAAAGATTTGACGCAACGATGAACGACAAACGGACTCCGATGCGTATGAACTCGACTTAAGATTTTTGAGAATTGTCAAACTCTTGCCAAATTATAGGTTATAATTTTGTGTCAAATAGAAATGATCAATGACTAAAGAATATAACAGAGAATAGGAATATAAGGACATGTACCGCCCCTATACGGGCTGCAGCAGAATTTGTGACCTTTTTTTGTTTTGGTGGCAAACAATGAGTCATCATTTGGTCACCAGCGACAATTTTAGCGATTTTTAATAGTTTGTGTGTAGTAAACTTTGTATAAACTTTATTATAATGGTGATTAGTTGTTCAGCTTTCAAGTGTAAAAGCAGCAGCGATAAGAAAGAGCCAGGAGTTACGTTTCATAGGTAAATAAACAGTCCACTCCAACTTTTTAGCGTTTTCTTATTGAATTCGATAATTATTCTTCAATTTCAATTAATATCTATTTGTACTTGATATGTGCTATACGCCGATACTAGTTTTGTACCTTTTGTTAACATTTTAATAAGTTTTTTTCGTAATTAATTAGGATGATACACCATAGGCGTAGTCAAAGCAATTATCAAAAAATATAAATATTGCTTCAAACAGCTAGGTTAAGAAAAATATGTGCCACGGCACTGTTTGATGGCATCGTCACAATTTGCTCTAGGATGTTATTTGTCCTTGGATTCTTTAGTCATTGGAAATGATAAATATTTTGCATTTTGCATTTTGGACTGTGTTGTTACTTATGTTTCGTGTTTTTTAAAATTAAGTGGAAGAAAACTCGAGGGAAAATTAAGTGTTGATCCAGACCATAGTTTACAGTTAATATTCGCTGTCCAGAGACCGCCAAAACACAGTTTGCCAGAGACTATGGCCAGAGAGTTGTATTAGCCACAAATAAAATTGTTTACCATCTCGTATATGGTACCAAAAACTGGAGTATCTGTAAAATAACATCACACGATAGGTAAATATTACATTTTAGTACTAGCAGAAAAAAATAAGATTAAAGTTAATTAACCAAGATCAGATTTTTTCAGTTTTATACGTTTTTTTTCACAATATTTTGATCACTTTCACTCAAAATTTAAATATATTAATTATGTGTTCCAATTGTGCCAACTTATTTCTTTGTAAAATAAAATAAACTACTTTGAAATTAAAATGACAGACACATCTGTCACTGCCAAGGATTTTGTCGTTGGACAGACTATACCGTTCATGGAAGAATATTTAAATCGTAGCTTTGTCATACCGGGCGCGTCTCAAAAGTAGCTCACCCCTATAACTTTTATATTTTTTTCATATAAAAAATCGAGATTTGGTATATTAGTAAATGACATAAATTAGGATTGATTGACTTATTCAATTGTTTTCGGTCCAGGAAATGACTACAACTTCTGATTTTTAAATGGCACCCTCGGTATTTTGTTAATTTATTCGATAGAAAATGACGCTCTGAATAGAATGATACACATATCATATGCCAACTTTATTTGAAATTGCAATATGTGATTCATAACGACAATTTGACTCGAAATACCAAATGTGTGGTACCAAATTATTCATAAAACAAATCTTTTTGTAAATATGCTAATGAGCCACCCTCGTTCCGTTTGAAAAAATTGAGATATGATTAAAAATACGATTTGGACATTTTTTAACCGGCCAGGACAAGACACTAAAAATATTAGACGATCAAATCTATTTTTCCAAGGCTCCTTGATTAAAAATTAGTGTTTTTAACACAGCCACGGCACCCTAGATTGAAATTTAAAATACAATATTATTTTAACAAGTAAATACAGGGTGAGTCTTAAATAAGTACAAATATTTTCAGGGGTAGTATATTTCGACCCAGGAGCACGTCTATGAGTTTTTCTCGCAAAAAAAGATGTTGAAAATCGTGCATTTTCTTTTAAATTTACCTGTATATTTTCGAAAACTTTTTAGAAATGCCTGTTCACCGCAAATTTTCCCACGGTATAAATTCTTATAATCTCTGATAGTACCATAGTTACAGCTTTACTCTAGGGTTACGGCACTAAAAGAGATGCAAATACAGAAAAAAATCCAGTGGCTCTCAAAATTTTTCAAAAAAAACATATTTTTTTTTAAATTTTCAAACTCAAATAACTCGGTTAGTTTGGACTTATTTGAAAAATGGTACAAAGAAAATATGTTTCTTTTATCGAGATCTACCGGCCCTGAAAATATTTGCACTTATTTAAAACTCACCCTGCATATTACGGTTAAAGTCCGATATCCTGTTAATATCGACATTAACAGGTTAATATTTGGGTTTGGTTTTTGGTTGCTTTGTTTTGTAAATACAGAATACACGGAAAGAACCTGATACCCCTGCATCTCCAAAAATACACCCTATATCTCCAAAACTAAGCATTTTAGGATATGCATTTTTACGAACTTTTTTACTTATTTTTATCTGCAAAATATGCTGCCGAAGTTCCCCGAAAAAAGTTCGGACAATCTTGTATAACGCCTACCCAAACATAAAGATATTTTGTTAAGTGTTTTTTTCAAGGGTTTAAATACAGGAAATTAAACAAAGAAATCAGGAACAATGAACATTTTATTCAGCTAAAAAAATATTAAGTATGTCTTACATCTAACACAGAGTATTAAGTAGGTTTAGATTATCACTACAATATCTTCAATATCACATAGGTACTCCTTTATAAGTCTGAAATTAAAATAAACAGTATATTAGATATAAAATACAATAATCAGTTAGTATAAAAACCTTACCCTTTCTGCTATGGATAACAGATTCTCTGTCATAGCCTTCCCAGTTTGTTGTACCATATCATAAAATTGTCCATTGGTGTTTTCCAACAATTCAAAAGGTTTTCCAAATTCAACTATTTCACCAGCATTCATGACCAATATTTTATCCGAATCCATGATAGTATGTAGTCTGTGAGCAATTGTAATGACAGTACAGTCAGCAAATTTATTTCTGATGGTTGACTGGATTAGGGCATCAGTTTGGGGATCCACATTTGCAGTAGCTTCATCGAGAACTAATATGCGATTTTTTCTTATTATCGCTCTAGCTAAGCACACCAGTTGTCTTTGGCCTACACTAAAATTTGAACCGCCCTCTATTATGCGACTTTCCAAACCGCTGGGTAAATCGCTTACGACATCTTTCAGTTCCACTTCTTCCAACGCATTCCATAATACCTGAAAACAATACAAATTAATACAAAAAAGTATTAAAAAATGATTCCAATAAAAATAAAAAATAATAGGGGTTTTAGTGAACTTTAATATGTATAACCAAAAATGGCACTGTCAAATGTCACAGTTATTGATATGTCGACATCATATACTGAAATCCGTCATTCCCTGAAATACATAATACAAGTAATGACGGCACACAGCGTTACTCTCGAGCTGGCACGGCGTTTGACTATAGATCTCAGGCATTCCTTGTAATTCTAGAATTCCTTCAGCGAAACGCCGTAATTAATTGAATCATTTCAGTCAACCTGTTTTCAAGCAACGAAAGCAAGCGATCCTAGAATGAAATAAATTGAAATCCGATTTTAATGTGACATACTCGATAAAAAGCCGAGCGAATTTTCTACATACATTGCATGTAGCAAATTTATACGACACCATATATATTTATCCGTTGCGTATCTAAGAGACAAAATTTTACGACCTACATCGACAATGCTTTGAAATAAACTAAATCAAGCGATCAAGCGAATCGCTCGACGCTTGCTACTTGCTATTCATCACCGAAAGAATATGTGCCCTGCGCACGCAACTTACTGCTTGGGGCTTGGCGTTAATGAGTATTTACAACAACCGAAAGGTGAAAAACCGTATTTTTAAATACGAGTGATATTTCGCTCGAGCGGTCACTCGATTATTGAAATTAATCGGTTTTTCCCATCAGTAGTTTACATCTGCAGTGTATTCTATGTAGAAATAGAAAAATCTATCTGAGAAGAAACTAGATTAATATTATTTCAATAAAGATAAAAAGCCTTGAAACCTAGCGAAAAAATGATAGCGATACTTTTTAGTTCCCAATCCCTTATTTTTGTATTCTATAAATTGTATGTTTAGTTGTTGCATGTTTGAATATACCTACAAAGCGTTTTGATAATATGTAATAGCCTACACTTTAAAATAATAAATTTTCTGTTACAACAATGCTACTAACTAGAAACCTTTCGACGTATTTTTTATCTTAATAATAATTTATATTGAAATATCGTAATAACAAAAAATATTTTACTTTGATGCACTATTATAAGACAACTTAATTTCAATAAACGCATAATACGTAAATTGACTAAGCATTTCAGGAAATTACGCATTTCCCTGTTTGACGCCGACATATATACACTAATAATAATAGTCTCCCGTTAAATCGTTTATATTTCTTGGCAGTAACTTGCTATAGCAGGTAGAGATACAGCTTGCCATACTAGAGCCGTTGGTACACTACGAAGGTGTGGCTAGCACAACGCTTCAACCGCCTATAATAAAATTACCGATTGGATTGTGAATCCCAAGTACTCATTTAAGTCTGATTCCAAGGTACCCAAACTATTTTTACAATTATTATGATTAATAAAGAAATAATACTACCGTCTCTTGTCTGCATAGAATTGAAAAGAAAGAGCCATTGAGCTATTTTAACAAACAATCAAGAATTGAGAATTTAGACAAAAAGCGAAAAAACGGAAAATAATAACGACGATCATAACATCGGTTTTCCAGCGGTATTTTTTAATATTGTAGATCAGTTTTTGTTTCTTTTATTTTATGGTTATGGTATGGTGTATGGTTTAATATAGGGAGCTACTCACGAACGCGTACTTATAATAAGAATCAATAAGCAGAGGGCCCACAATGTCAAAAATATCGCGATTATCAAAATGTAGGCATTACTTTTTTTTATTTTCAAAGTTAAATAATTATACATCTTCCTCTAGGAGATGCGAGACCTTGTCGTTGGTGGGGAAGCTCCTGTCAGGTGCTAGGGGGAATCCCCTCTAGCACTTTGGCTGGGTCTAAGGGGCATCTCATTGTCTTGTCCCTGGTTGTAGTGTCGTGGCCCGGGAATTGCACCAAGACGTATAACGATGCCGGATGGGACTACCCTGTTCACCTTACCAGGCACCCTCTACTGTCTGTGGTCATGTATCATGGACAGAGGGTGTGGGGAGGTATTAGCTTAGTAGTTGTATTAGCTGAGAGTCGACAGATATCAACGATTGTCAAAATGTAGGCATTTTTTTTTATTTTCAAAGTTAAATAACTTGGTTACATACTTTCTTGCAGATGTGATAACATTGGTTATGGCTACACATGGTTGATACTGAAGGCTATCAAACGGTAGGAGTTAAATTTTCAAAGTTGATTATTCCGGCTATTATGAATTTATTTTAAAAAGAGCAAATAGAAAATGTTTATTATATCCATATCTACCACCTTTTAAAATACTATTGGATCGAAAAAAAACTAGGGTTCAGTTGGCTTGTAAATAACGGTTGATGACATTCCTCAAATAATTTTGCATATAAAGTAACAGCGATCTTTATTTCATAGCCATCACTGACTCCATTTTTTTTTCGATCATATTGTATTTGCACTTACTTAATATACATCAGACACTGAGAATTGTTGCCCATCAAAGTTATATATTCTCGCACTTGACAAACTATACATTTTTTGATTTTGCAAATTACAAAACCAGTTAACTTAGTGAATAATAAAAATATCCTTTATAATCAATTTTAACTTACCTTATCATCATAATCATCAAATGGGTCCAAATTTTTCCTTAATGTTCCAGCAAACAGTACTGGCTCCTGAGGTATTATAGATATTTTCGACCTTAAGCACTCCAAACTTATTGTACTTATATCAATATCATCTATGGCTATTATTCCTTCGTTCTCAGCAAGCCTGAATAAAGCTATAATTAAAGAAGATTTTCCAGCTCCTGTTCTACCTACAACTCCAACTTTTTCTTTTCCTTTTATACTGAAGGTCAGGTTCTTTAAAACCTTAGGCTCGCCTATATCATATCGCAGACTTAGATTTTTGAAAGTGATATTTCCTTCTGATGGCCAATCGCTTGGAGGGTCTTTTGTTACTTTAGTAGTTTCTGGGTCGATATCAATATATTCTCTTATTCTTTCAACGCTTGTCATAGCATTTTCTAATTCGCCCCATTGTCTCATACACCACTGGAACATACCAGTTAATGTGAGAGACTGTGTTATGGATAAGCCAACGAATCCTCCTAGAGCATCAGTTTTAAATATTAAAAAGCTCATTGTTACAAGACCAATGTAAATAACGCACTGAAAATCTAACCAGAGACCAAAACATCTACCTAAGGCCAGAAATGTGGTGAAGGCGGAGCTATTTCTGTTCTGGTGCGCATCAAATTCCTTGCTCAAGATCGTTTGAGCGCCAAAAGCCCTTATTGTGGTTAGTCCTTGGAGTGAAGCAGTAAAATGTGAGTATACAGGACTTCTCGCTAGAAATAAAATCACAATTAGAAGAAAATAAATGACTAAATATAACGCAATTTAAAAATAAAAAAAAATACTTACTTGTACTCTCCACTCGTTTGATGTCTCTACTGGTGGCCATGTATATAACTCTCAAAAGATAGAACAGAAATAAGATAATAACTGTAGGTATTAGCATCCAAGGATTGACAGTAGCTACAACAATTGTTGTAAACAAAACAGTAAGGCCATTCTGAAAAATAGAAATTGATATTAATATAGTTATTTCGTTTAAGATACGAGATTGTTTACCACATTTTAACAATATAATTTAAAAAAATGTTTTAAGTTAAGGTGGGTTAAAGCACAGAATATCTAGCTACGCAACAGAAGCCTCGTTACATGCATAAAACTGTAGGTATCAAAAGGAGACAGGCTTTTAAAGCCTATCTCCAAATCAGATATTTTGATGCGGTAGTTTCGCTACTACATAATAGAGGGCGATAAATTTTAAAGAAAATAGTTTTCTACAAACAAAATTTAAAAGAATTTTGTGCAGTGTTGCCATTGTGTAATTCATATTGTAATACTTCCTGATAAAGCCTACCTTCAAATTTGCTACATCATTTAAACATATTAAAATAGATCAGAGCTCTTTTTTCACACGTTTAAGTATTTAACTTGCCATGTTAGTTGTAGTTAAATCTTACGAGCTGAATTACAATCAGTTCCTGCCGTTTGATTGAAATTGAATCCTGAATTTTGATTGTAATTCGGCGACAATATAATAAGTATTGTTCTACTATTATGATACCACTGCCTGACGTTCAATTGTGTTCTTACTTTATACCTCTTTATACCGTATGACCGGGAAAAAACGGCGTTAGCAATGCCTATGAAATGAAGATAGCTGTCATTTTATATGTAAATTCATATGGGAAATACCATAATATAGTACCATATTACGATACATGGCGTTCGATTGAGCTTAAACTTGGTATACTACGTATCTTCGGTGACATTGTAATTTTATGGTAGCATGGAGCATATAAAGTGGTACCTTCTATAGTACCATATTATGTTACCACTTCCTGATGTTTGATTGGGGTCATATTTGGTATATACTTGCGAATTTTTGATGACATTGCAATATTATGGTACCATAAAGCATATTAAGTGGTACTATAATATAGTACCATATTACGTACATGGCGTTCGATTGGGCTTAAACTTGGTATACTACGTATATTCGGTGACATTATATGATAGTACTATAATGCATGTAAAGTGGTACCTTCTATCGTACCGTATTATGATACCACTTCCTGACGTTCGATTGAGCTCATATTTGACATATAATTTCGTATTTTTGATGATATTGCAATATTATGACACCATGAGCCATATCAAATGGCACCATAATATAGTACCATATTACGTACATGGCGTTCGATTGGGCTTAAACTTGATATACTATGTATCTTCGGTGACATTGTAATATTATGGTACCATGGAGCATATAAAGTGGTACCTTCTATAGTACTACATTATGATACCACTTCCTGACGTTCGATTGGGCTCGTATTTGATATATACTTGTGTATGTTTGATGACACTGCAATATTATGGTACCATGAAGCATATCAATAAAAGGTACCATAATGTAGTACCATATTACGTTACCATTTCCTGGCGTTCGATTGGGCTTAAACTTGGTATACTACGGATTTTCAGTGACATTGCAATATTATGGTACCTTGAAGCATATCGAGTGGTACCATAATATAGTACAATATTATGATATCATTTCCTGGATTTATGATATTATTAATTGTACCTGTGTCACTTTTTAAAATCTACCTAGGTCTATATAAATAACGTGGCAAACAGAAGAAATTTGTTATTATAGTCAATTAACATTTTTTGTACTACATTTTAATAAATTATTTCCATTATTATTAAACTTATATTTCATTATTAACGTTCCAGCATTAATAAATATCACTATCAATCGCCCTGTACATTTTTAATGGTAATTAAAGGTATTTTCTTAGTAACCAATATAAGGTAGTATATATTAAAAATGTATTTTATGAATATATATTTTGTAATAATATAATTAAAACTATTTTAAAAGTCAAACGAATAATTAATATAAGTGTATCTGACAAGAAAAGAAGAATAGAAAGAAACTATTATACACCAGAAAAAGAATGGCATGCCAATTAAAGTCTTTTTGAATCTGGCAACTGTGCATATTTAGGCCGTCGACGTGCCGTCGATCCAAAACCGAAAATTCAAAATTTCCAATTATATTCTGATTATGATATTGTCGCACCATCTAGTATTTTATTTGTGCAATTTTAGCTCTTTCATTTCGAGTATTTTTCTGTTGCGTAGCTAGATATTCTGTGGTTAAAGTCTTCCAACTTCTAGTAACACCGGAAATATATAATAATATATTGTTTGGATTTTACATAAATTGAAGGGTCCAGGAGAAAAACTTATAATAATGATAAGCGCCAATTTCTTAATTTTAGGATTTTACAACATTATAGTAGGTCTAACTGATCCCTACAAAATGTATAAACTCTGCAGTGCAATAAGTTGTTAAATCCTATGATATATATGCCTAATAAAAATCTAGAATACACGGAAAGAACCTAATAACCACCAGCCGCCCAGTACTCTTTTGTAAAATTAGTAAAATGGCGCTTATCATGTTTTCCCCTGGATCATTCAATTTGTAAGTACTTTTCTATACCCGGTGCGTCTCAAAAGTGGCTCACCCCTATAACTTTTTTATTTTTTCAGATAAAAAAACGAGATTTGGTATGTTAGTACTTGACATAAATTAGGATTGATTGACTGTTTCACCGGAAACGACTACAACTTTTGATTTTTAAATAGCACCATCGGTATTTTTTTACTTTATTCGACAGAAAATGACACTCAATAGAATGACATATCATATGTCAACTTTTGACATTTTCGCATATGATTTATTTGAAATTGTAACATACGGATCATAACGACAATTTGACTCAAAATACCAAGAGTTTTGTACCAAATTATTCATAATAAAATGAATTTTCCAAATATACTAATTAGCCACACTGGTTCTATTTGAAAGAATTGAGATATGATTAAAAATACGATTTGGGCATCTTAACCCTCAACTGGCGTGGTGAATTTTTGTAACGCTTATGGCGTGCTGGGGTCCGACGGCCACAATCTTTTTTCCATTTTAAATTACATGATGAAGAGATTTTATAAAAAAAATTGTTATTTTAACACTGTTTACAATATATTCAAACTTGTTAACAAACAATTTCATTAATTTTCAACAAATTAATAAGAACGGACACAAAAATAAAGTAAAACGCATTTTTTAGGAATTTTTGACAACAGAAATATAACTTGGCTAAGAAATTAAAAACATATATATTTTATAATTTTACCGTATTATTAAAAGTACAAACAACGGAAATGTGAAGCTAAAGTAATAAACATAAATTATTTTCAACAAAACTGCAAACCTTGTATGTACATAACTTTTTCAAATACAGTTCATGCTAATATAGGATCTGCATTTGCCGCACATGGATCATGCACATTTGATTCATGAGATTTTTGTTTTTTTATCATTTCTTCATTGTCATATGGTTGCCATATACCACATCTCATTCTTTTCTGGTATTGATTATTCAATTTTCTCTCTTCTATAAGAGATTCAGAATCGGAGTTATGGTTACTCTTCGGAGAAAAATCAATGTCTCAATGGTCTTCATCTCACTTAAGCTTCTTTAAGTTCAAAATTAGCGTCCCAGTCAGGCACACTTTTTAGACTACCCACCATCCTAATAACGTAACATTCTTGGCGTGGTGGTGCCACACAGACCCCAATGAAACTTTAGCCCCCGCTGCGCAAGTGGGAACAATACTTGATAAAATCAAGTGCGCCTTTAACAGTTGCATGTTGGTACCCTAACTTAAAGGTAAATGGCGCGGCCAGGCCTAATTCTTAAACGTAAACATTTTACAGAGGTTTAAATAGTGCTTGCGGTCCGCTGGACCCCGCCACTCCAGTTGAGGGTTAACAGGCCAGGATAAGACACGAAAGACATTAGACGATCAAATCTATTTTTCCAATGCTCCTTGATTAAAAAAAGATGTGCAGATAAAAAGAAGTAAAAGAATTGGCGCTGGGAGGCACGTATAGCCGCCCATACTAAAATATGTTAATATCTCGAAAGCTGCGACTTTGACTGATTTTGATATTATTACAAACTAGGTTTTTCCCGCGACTACGTTCGCGTTACACCTCGAATAGTTCATGCATTGATTTAAATGATTTACTTTGTATATAGAGCTAGTGAGCCTTACAAATGCCCTATTTAAACTATGTTTTTAAGAGTTTTAGAGCTACTCGTATTTCATATGAAAGTTATCAATTGTCGATTTTCTGGGTATTATACAGAGCAAGTCTTGAATAACTGCAAATATTTTCAGGGCTGGTACTGCTGGTAGATCTCGATAAAAAAACATATTTCCTCTTTACCGTTTTTCAAATAACTCCAAAATAACTGAGTTATTTTACTTTAAAAATTTCCAAAAAAAAAAATATTTTTTGCTTAAATTTTGAGAACCACTGCAGCTTTTCGGGTTTTTCTGTCTTGTAAATTTAATCTACTACCTATCTATGTTGCCATATTATCAAGAAATTATGGTTTTTAACTAAAAACTAAAAAAAATCCAAAAGATTTTTCAAAAAATTCCAGATTTTCAAATTTTTCGCTAAGAATAATTGCACTTATTTAAGACTCGCTCGACAAAAAATCGATATTGTTATTTTTGACTTATTACATATTTTTTACTTAAAATTTATAAAAAGCCGTCAATATTCCAATTTCAAGAGTAGAGAGAGATTTTTATTCTCTTTAAATATTATTATGTACTTAAGAAAATTCGAAAATTTAAAAACCGTTTTTTATTTTTTCATCGCCTGTATATGACTTTATGACACACTTTGTATACCAAAAATAAAACTTTTGATTAGAGCCGTCTGAAATAAAAAATCTTAATAATTCTAAAAGTTATCGAAATCAAAGTATTTCAAAGAAGTTCAATTTTGGCCACAAAATGTTTTTGAAATCTTGCTTTTTTAACACTTTTTTTCAATTTTTTCTAACTATTTCCATTGACTGAAACTAATTATATATGGTTGGATAGAGAACGGATGGCGATCTTCCAGGGCGGTTTTTATTTCTTATTTATATATAGATTATTTTCGAAATCGAACTAGTCAATTTCAAAGAAATTTTGCAAAATCTGAAAAAATAAAATCTCTCCAAAATAATAAATAGTGAACTGATTATTTACCCTCTATAGATAGAACCCCTACCTATGGTCCCATATAAACTATATTACTAAAATAAATAGTTTTGAAATATGAAGTTTTCAAATGAATATTTGAAATTTTCAATTGTCGCTTTACTCCCTTGATATTTTTTTTATTTTTCATTTCTTTTTTTGGTTTATTAAGAGCACTAATACTCCATTTATAGTTATTTTTTATTCCTTGAAAAATAACTGAAGAAGAGATATTTCGTTTATATTATTGATGTGTCACTAAATAAACCCTTGTATAAAATTTTATACTGGTAGATGTTATAGTAATGCATTTTCGTACAGGAAACTTTCATTCCCTATTCTACTCCCTAAGATTATAAATTTCATAAAATCGCTTTATCCAAATAATTAACTCATATCTTTTAAATGATCCTTTGTGCCAATTTTTGCTAACTTTACCCATTTGGTTGATGAATTTCAAAAATCTCTTCTAATTCTTTTTGTAGGATTTCATTCTTCTAGACCACATAGTAAGGAATTTTCAAAAAAGGAAAACAACAAATTGTTCCGACATAATTTTACTCTCTAAGAGGATGAATTTCCTAAAATCGCTTTGTGTAGCTAATTCACTAATGTCGTTTAAACGAACCTTTGTTCTAATATTTATGTATCAAAAGCTGGCATGTATGAACTGATCCCTAAATTATCTAAAAACTTGATATATAATCTAACTGACAAACCACTGACAATGACAAATAATTTATTTCTGGAGGTATTGTGTGTAGGCAGTGTGTAGGTGTTTTCAGGTATATTTTAATATTTAGTCGATTTACACAAAGAAATAGCCATTCAACAATTTAAAAATACTTCATAACAAATCTAGACATATGTATATACCTTTTATTTAAAAAAAACAGCGTTTCGCTATAACCCCCTCCCATACACCCTTACCAACCCCCCACCCCCACCAAAAACTAATGGCCAGATTCTCGGGTGCCACAGTATTTTTGTGCCAAATTTGGTTAAAATCGGTTCAGCGGTTTTTGAGTTATCGTGTTACAGACGGACAGACAGACAGACACACACCATGAAAATATTTTGTATTTAGGTCATTTATGACCCAAATAACTCATTTTGAGTGAAATTAAAAAAACTTTTTTTTTGCCGATCCTAATAGCCTACCAATACTACCTACTAATTTTTATCGGTATGGTCGGCTAAAAATTCGTATAAATGTATATGCCCTAAAATGCCTCGTTTCGGATATACAGGGTGCAGCAGTTAAATTTTTATTTCGTTTTTCTTCCAAATAATTTCTAAACTAAGGTAGATATTTGGATGAAAATTGGTGTCTGGGTGTTTTTTGACATGAGAAATTCGATTTCGATGTCAGTATGACTCCTGCTTGTAGGGGGCGCTGCCTACATGTTTTTTAAATGATTTGAAGAGTAATAACTCTTCGTCCATACCTATATAAAACTACTGAATGAAAAAATATACATTTCCGTCATTCTTTGCATAAAAAAGAATCACTATGAGCAACCGTATTCAAGATATTTGAAATGGAAATAGTCAATACATGTCATTATTGACAAAAAAATAAACATATTGACTAGATAGTTATTTGACTGAAATCTTTGACTGAAATAATACATTTGGGAACTTTTTATTTTTTAAGCTAATCATGAATTTTTCTAGAAAAAAAATGCGATGAAACGGTTTCTGTTGAACCTTGGGTGCAAAAACATCTCAAATTTATTATTTCAGAGTAATAACCATCTGGTCAACATGTAGGTATAATTTTTGTCAATTATGACATGTATTGACTATTTCGATTCTAAATATCTTGAGAATCATTACTCCTAGCGATTTTTGCCAAGAGAACTTTTTTACTGCATGTATGTCATTTTCTATCGAATAAGTAATAAGATAAATTCGAAATCGAAAAATACCGAAGGTGTCATTTAAGAATCAAAAGTAGTATCACAACATGTAGTGAGTTTCAGTGAAACAGGAAGTGATCGAAAACTATTGAATACTTCAATCAATCCCTGATTTATGTTATATACTAGCGTATCAAATCCCGTTTTTTTATCTAAAAAAAATAAAAAAGTTATAGGGCTGAGCAACTTTTGAGAAACATCCTGTATGTATAGCATTTTTATTTAATTTTATTCAGGTTTTGGGGAAGTATATGAATATTTTGAATTTTAACAGTAGCAAATTGAATTATGAATATAAACCTACCTGTATAGTGTCTATCAAAGTTATAGGGAGTACTTCATCCACTTGATTCATATCCTTTGAAAATCTATTTAAAATCCTACCAAATGGATTGGTATTGAAAAATAACATCTTGGCATAAACTATCTTATCAAACATGCTGTTATGCAATTTCTTAGATGCCTTGATACAAAATGTGAAGAAAAACAGGGATCTTGCCATAGCAAATACAATTAAAAATATCACAACCCCAGAATAGACCATAATACAGAGCTCTTCGGTCATGTTATTCAACCAAAATTCTTGAAAGGCGGACGTTTCTACTGTTTTATTTAGCTCCGAAGTACTTGTATTTGTAAATATTTCTGGAGGATTTGTTGTATTAGATAAGTCTAATCCTCGTATTTCACCTCTAGATTTCTTAATAGCTTCACCATTTACCCTAAAAATAAATTAGATCATTAGTAATCATTGTTCAATTGAAAAATGTAATAAATTTGTAAAAGTTCTAAAAAAATATGTAAAAATCAAACTCCAACACTTACCACCATGTAACATAATAATCAGATATACTGCTAAATAATTGGGCGAATAAGAATACAAGAAGGATCCATACTACTTTGCACCAGTGGCCCCCACTTGCAAGGTATACTTTATATACTCCAAAAGAAATAGTTCCAAGTTCTCTATTCTCTCTATTATCCTTTGGTTCTTTGTTTGAAGATTCCTTAGTATCCTTTATTTCTTTTCTCTCCTCTATACCATCTTTCATATTTTCATCAGAATCATCTTTATCATTTGTTTCTTCACTTTCAGAAACTTTTAGGTCTTTAAACAGCTGAGCAAACTCTTTCTCGCTTTTTGCTATTTCTTCATAAGTTCCTGAAAAATCAATTTTGCCACTATCCATCAGATATATCTTCTTAACATCCTTTAAGTACTGCAACTGATGTGTTACAAGAATCACACATTTTTCTTTAAGATATTCTTGAATGCATTCCTTAAACATATATCTTCCTACATGTGTATCAACTGCTGATAAAGGATCGTCTAACAGATAAATATCAGCATCCTTGTATATTGCCCTGGCTAAATTTATTCGTGCTCTTTGTCCGCCACTCAAAGATGCGCCTCTGTCTCCAACAACAGTCCTGTCTCCATAAGGGAAGAGTTTAAAATCACTTTCCAAAGAACATGATTTAATTACTTGGTCGTATCTGTCCTGGTTAAAGTCTTGACCAAAAATTATATTCTGCCTTATGCTACCTGTAAAAAGCCATGGTTCCTGAGAGGCGTAAGATACAGTACCATTAATATGAACGCTGCCCACCAATGGATGAAGCTCTCTTAAAATTGTGTAAAGAAGGGTTGTCTTTCCACTCCCAACAGGACCAATAATAACACCCAAATCTCCTGAACTGGCAGTCATAGTGATATTTTCCAAAGAGTAGTCTTCTAATTCACTGTTCCATTTAACAGACACATTTTTTAAGTCAACTAGATTTTCTGATGATTTAGGTTCTTTTAGGAAGCCATTTGACAATACTGAAGATTTATCATTGTAATTATTATAAAATGTTGATGATGAGTCAAATTCCATCTCATCCATCATCAAAAATACCTTAATTCGTCTTACAGAAATCATAGCTTCAGCTAATTGGGTTGCAGCTTCTGGAAATCGCTTTGATATTATAATTCTTAAAACGCCATAGAATCCAGTTACAACGTAAACATACTGTGCATTAAGAATATTTCCTGTTAAGACAAAAACTAGAATGCACAAATAAATTGCGGATTTGTTGATAAAAAGGTGAAACGACATTATTATCGCTCTAATAACTGAAGTTTTCTGAATTTCTCTCATCTCTTTCCTACAAAAAAAAGTTATTATTAATATAAAAATTCGAATTTGTTTTAATAAAGCAATATAATAACTTACCTACGACTAATTTCAACAAATTTTGCAAATGGCTTTTCCCAGGTGTACATTTTGATCACTTGAATTCCAGAAATAATTTCATTCATAAGGCGGATTCGTTCGTCGGTTTTTAAAGCGGTATTTAGTCGAAATACAGAGGTTTTCTTTCCAAGCCACACTAAAAAAATAATAAGAAAGTAGTACCTTATAATTGCTAGTAATTTAAATAAATATGGAATAATTATAATTTTTTAATAGGGCCAAGGTGGTGTAAAAAAGTGAGATTTTTCAAAACTTTGTTTTTTTCACAGTTTTACACACAAAAAAATAACGCTTTATTGTACAAAAAGCCAAAATAGCTTCATCGACAAAGCGTTTACAAAACAAACAAAAGTACAGAAAATATACAAATAATAAAAAATATACAATACAAATCATACAATTCAAAAAAAAATTAAGTCATTACAATTACAAATAGAACATACATGGACAAATACAGAACACAAAAAAAAGGCGTATCAATAAAATTTTACAATAGGAAAATTGAAAATGGATATAATTTTAAGAGTTTTGTAAAATATGAAATACCCGACCTTTGACCAGTGTATGGTGTGAGATGATCAAAATTTTAAAATTCAAAATTGTTCATGATTAAACATCAACAAAAAAAGTCGTTTACCGCATATAGGGCTCTCTCCAATAAGTATGATTATAGAGCTTTTTGCGAAATGCGGGAAAGAATGAAAGCAACTTGATATTCAAAGGCAGATGATTGTACATTTTTTTGGCATTGTACAGTATTGAACCTTTAACTAGTTCTGAGTTCGGGGTTGGCTGATAAAGATAGTGCTCCGCATTCCTAAGTGGATAGTTGTGAGATGGCCTATCGGGAATAGCAGATATGTGCTTGCGGATTAAGCAAACGGATTCAAAAATGAATAAAGAAGGAAGAGTCAGTATTTTGAAATTTTAAAAGAAATTCTGGCAGTGAGTTCTACCTGAGTCAGCCCCAATAAATATCGAACTGCTCTCTTTTGAAGTTTGAAAATGCGATCAAATTTTGTTGCGCAGCAAGTACCCCAGAATGGAAGGGCATAACCGAAGATGTGACTCAAAAAGGGCATAATAGGCTATACTTGAGGTTGATAAGTTAAGTTCCTTAGAAACTGATCTTAGCGCAAAACAGGCAGCGCTTAGTTTCTTTGATAAAGCTTCGATGTGCAAGTCCCATTTTAACGAGTTGTCCACAACAAGTCCTAAGAATTTCACAGATTCCACCACATCAATAGTGGTGCTATTAAGTACAAAAGATTGTATAGTACTTTTATATGACAAAACTTTAGTTTTTGATAGGTTGAGGCATAGGAGATTAGAATCGCACCAAGATTTAATGGTGCATAAGTCACTGGATATAGTATTATATAGTCACGTAACAGCTCGGCCGCTCCAAGAGAAACTAGTCCGCAAAGGCAAAGAGGCAGATTTTAACGCTAATGTCTAGATTTGTAATGTCGTAAACACCAGAAACAAAATAGAGCCAAGTACTGAACCCTGGGGGACACCACATTCTATAGGCTTACAAGAAGACATAGACGAATCAATCCTCACAAGCTGCCTTCTGTTGCCAAGATATGACTAACTATTCTATATGACTAGCCATTCTAACTTAACCCTAACTCCCCTGAATCCATAGTATTGCAATTTGTTAATTAAGATATTATGATTTACATAGTCGAAAGCCTTAGAGAAATCACAGAAAATTGTAGCTGTAGAGTGATGGTTATTCAGGCTAGAGTAGAAATTATTAAAAAAGTCGAACATAGCATCATTTGTGCAACTGTTACTTAGAAATCCAAATTAATAGGTAGTAAGTACTTTATATTTAAGGAGAAAAGATAGAAGCCTTTTTTAACTTTCAATGATCTTAGATAATGTGGGCAGGAGTGCAAAAGGCATTGGGTAGTAACAAAACTATTGTAAAATTCGACAAATAAAAATAAAGTAAAAATATACCGAAAGTACCCCTAAAAAAGTCAGTATGCAGCAAAGAGTGTCTCATATTTAACCCAGAAAGTCTAAAAATGGGACATGCTGGGTTAAATATGAGACGGTCACAAAGCGCCCGTTTGAAGGTATTGCTATGGGTTGTATTAAATGCCGAAGTAAAGATGAGACTAGAAGGATACAAATTAAACATAGAAATGTATATTTTTATTAGTGAAACTCAAATAAAAAAATCGAAACTCATAATGAACACCTACATATAATTCAAATCAAAATACGATAAAATTACATAGTCACAAAACATTTATAAATTGATAGTGACATTAAAATATTAATAGAGTCATTTAAAGAGTGGAACAAAAAAATACAAATATAATCAATTATCGGCAAACTAAATATTTCTCAAAATCTATTGAAAGAGCAACATATACGCACTCCTAGAAGTCGCGCCTTGCAAATTTTATGTTGGTAATTATTTTAAAACAATGTTTTTCTTTAAAACATTATTAATGAAATCTTAAATATGAAAAATTTTGACTGCATATATTAAGGTTAGATCTCCGCTGCTGATTAACTTTTCAGCCTTTTTAAAATCTTTTTCTGTATACTTTTTGACTTGTGACTAAAATTTAAAAATATATATGATATTAAGTTGTCACAACCCTACCTCTGTCTCATTATTACCCCTCTGTATGTCTCAAATTTATCCCTCCAAAAAAATTGCTTGCCTTTCTAGACCATGTACCATAACCTATCTACGTAGAGGTGGGAATTCTAGTTCCTCCAGAGGAATAGTTCCTTGAACTAGGTCTTTAGTTCACAATAGTTCCCGACTAACATTGACATCCCCGTTGCTTGCTAATGGGTTTCGTTGTCAGTCAGAACTATTCACAGTATGATCTGTATAATTTTTATAATGTACGAAATATAACGAGACGTGTAATTGTGTATGTTAAAAACATAATATGTAAGTTTTATTGCAGATAAAAAAAATTAAAAAAGAACTACAAATCAATTGGAATTACGAAAATTTTACGAAAAACTGCATTTTTCCTCAAGGTTCTTGTTTTTGTCTAAAAATTCAGAATATCTGCTTCGTTTTATAAGATATATCTTAATTCTAGGAAGTAGGAACCTAAAGTGAAACATTCCCATAAAATATTTAAATAACAAACAAAAACTGTATCCACGAAAATTTTCTGTGGTAATTACGCCGGCTGTGGCAATAGACAAGGCCGAATCCAAAGCCGTAATAGTTAATCGGAACTAGTTCGTTCACGAACTACACATCTCTATATCTACGCACGCGACGACACACGGTGGAGTATTAGCATAAAAAAGGTGATCGAAATTCGAAAAAGCAAATGTGTTTAAGATTTCCCAAAAAATGATAAATGATAAATTAATTCATATCTGCCATGAATGGCGTTGCTATGGGTCTGTTTAGTTCCATTCATTTGTTTCAACGAAACGTCAAACTTGTTACTTCTCACAGATAAGAGGTAAATGGCTAAATTTTATGTTTAAGATTATAAATTGTTGTTGTTCTTGTGCTCCTTTTACGGCTCAGCAAGCTGCAGGTATGTATTCTACAAAAACATATTATTTATTTTGATATTATCTATACTAACGATTTTTTTTGCAACTAAGGGCGGATTTACCCAATTTCTTAATTGCTATTCCTTAATTCTTATTTCTTAGTCTCTAATTTGTAATTCTTAATACACAATTCTTTATCCCTTATTTTTTTAGAGACAGTTATCCAATGTCTTAATCCTTATTTCTTAATTCTTAAAACTGACACTAGTAGATCAAATCAAATCGTTTTTATTTCGCTGTGTTATTGTGTGCAATGAGGTCCATACCAAAAATTGCAGCACTTTCGGGTTTGTTTATAACCATGGCTTGTCGTGTCGCTACTCTCGTGAATCGCCACCGAGGTTGTAGGCGATTTGGGGTTCGCCCCATGAATAGAAGAAAGGACATGGAAGGCAATTTTGGAACTCTAATACAAGACATGCCTTCCTTGGAATGGACGAACAACAGTTCACAAAATACACAAAAAAATTAACATTTCAAAATTTCACGCATGCGCATCTACACGTTTTCCTTAATCGCTAATTCGTAATCGCTAAAAAGTTAAAAGTTGGGAACTTTCAAAATAAAGAATTACGAACCGTGGTTAAGAATTAAGGATTAAGACATTGTATAACCAAACTAACTGCATAACACGTATTTTATCTTTTTATAATTTAGCGAATAAGAAATAAGAATTAAGGAATAGCAATTAAGGAATTGGGTAAATCCGCCCTAAAAGTTGGGCGTTCAAAAAATTTGATTAAATTTGTGGCATTTTTATTATACTTAGAAATTTAATTGCGCATTTCGAAGAATTCAGCATATTGTCTATATACGTTTTACTTAGTAAACATTGGACTTTCATACAGTAAAATAAAATACTGCGACTTTTTGCGATTTTGCTGATAAAATGAGAAAAACATTCTTGGTTTCCTCTAATTTGCAAATCAGTGATATACTAATGCGAGGGTAAACCTCGATGGCATTGTTGTTTACAAAGCGATCGCATTAGTGCCATTAGCAGTACAGCACAATTTGGCATTAGTAGCGGCTTTAGTGGTATGGGCATTGGTCGCGGATCAGTCGTAGCATTAGTAGAGTAAACGCCACGAATGTTTGGGAGTGATTCATCGCTTGATGAAGTTAGAATCAACACGCGCGCTATCATTTTTACATTAAAAATGTAAATTTTTACCGCAGACGTAGGTTTTTAAAGGCCCGGTCTAATCATCTGCCTGCGCTCCTCCTACTTATTCTAAAATGTTAGCGTGATTGACAAAGACGATACTATATCGCGTTTCTTTGACCGATTCGTTTTTGTGCGTCAATCCATTGATGTGCTTGCAGTGCGACCAATGGGGCATTCCATTTTATATTTATAACCAAATATATGTTTTGACAAGACTTTGACAGTTAAAACAACAAATTACAACAGATTATATATTGATTATTATATGATTTGAAAGACCACGGCACTGGAATTAAGTTTTATGTGTCCTTGAACAGATTAGTTCACATGGTAGCGACCGATGAATCACTCTCAAACATTCGTGACGTTTACTTTAGTATTAGTTGCGATATTACTACTGGCATTAGTGGCATTGACCGTGGAAACACTGGAACAGTGATTTTTCTTTCTTTTTTTAGAATCGACGAATTATCCTTTATTTTGTTCATATTATTTCCTCTTTAGTTGAAAATAGCAATAATTTATATAAGGTCTACATAAAAAAATTTCGATCAACTATTGGTGTCAAATACCCCACAGTGTGACAGTCGAATGCTTACTACTTCATAGTGATGTCATCTGACAAAAATTTGGTAGTCAGTTTCAAAAGTTTTAAACCTCAAAACGAGACAGTGGATTTGTAATTTTACTTTTTTCATGATTCATCACACAAAGATTAATCAAACTATGGAAATGATCTATAAACAATTATTGTTAAATGTTCATAACATGAAAATTTACCAATATAAGTTTTCAGTAGTTTTATTTGAATGTCTCATTTTTTATCTAAATATGGTGTGTTTGATTTTTACTTCACTTGACCCTATAAAAATTACAATTTTTAATAAAACAAAAATAGTAAAGTACTTACTTTGAAATGGTATAAAAGCTATTAAGAACAGAATCCCAGCTATTCCACTTACTCCAACATAAAAATACATCAGAACCATTACAATTAAAAGTTCGACTGGTGCTAACCAGAGATTATGAACGTGTTTGATCGCTGTTTCAAATCTTCCAACATCATTTGATATTAAATTAACCATTTGTCCAATATTTGTCTTAGCTAATGCAGACTTGCTAAGCTTTAACGACTTTCTGTAGACCAGCGCTGTTGTGGCTACTTTGATTTTTAGTCCCATATTAAACTGGTACAACATAAAGTTGTGTTGTGATATCATGGATATGGCGGATGATAGAACCAGTAACGAAGAATACAAATAAGCTTCACCTTTAGACATAGTTGAATGTGGCTCATAGTAAAGTAATATTTGTGATAAAATAAGAGGTTGGGCCAATCTAAAAATAAGAAATATTTTTTAGTACAAATTATTAATGTGCAGGGTGTTCCATTTTCGTATGTTTTGTGGGGTTTCTCGTTTATGAGTACAAATAAAAAGATGCGGTCTTCATATCATATATTATTTTTTATTTGATTTGCCTTTTATAAGCTTTTTAAAAACTAATAATATACCCTGCGGTCTTCATATCACTGTGTTCGTTTTTTATAAAACTAAAAATGCTACACACATATTTATCATAGCCCCCTTGGTTTCTGAAATACAGGGCAAATCTAAAGATGTTGCATTTTCTGACTCTCCTCGTATCTTAGTTATCTTATAACTTATCGAAAAGGCGAAGACTTGTAGAGTATTTTACGTAGAAACCAGTGGCGTAACTAGTTTTTTGCTAGAAGCTGTAATTGAGTCAAACATTTTTTTTTAATTAGACACACTTTATATTATTTTTTATTTGATTTGCCTTTTATAAGCTTTTTAAAAACTAATAATATACTCTATACGTATTTTCATAAATAAGGCAAAAAATTAATATTTTAACTTTTTTTAACATAAATCAACCTAGTTTAAAAGAATAGTATTCATTTATTTGATTTAATATAACCAGATAATTTTGCTTTTCATGGTTGTTATTGACGTAAATTGGATTGGAAAGCGCACGTTGAGAGTGTTGCAAAGGGTGTTTCAAAAATTAGAGACATAGCTTTGCTTTGGGGTTGTCTCAGAGAATGTAGAAGAAGCTGCATTGAAAGCATATTATGCTTTTGTGTAATCTAAAATTAGATATGGCTTGGTTATTTTGGGAAATTGTACTGATATAAAGGTACACTATACACTCAGGCTGAGAGCGTCGAGCGTCGCGTCGCGTTTGCGTCGATCCGCCCCATTGAACTCGAACCCCGACGCTCAGCGGACGCTAGCGCAACGCCAAACGCAACGCTGTCTGCCTGAACGGTCTAATTTAAGTGAATTGATTCCATTTCGACACGCGGACGCGACGCAAACGCGACGCGACGCTCGACACTCTCAGCCTGAATGTACCTTAAGTAGAATTTTTCTGCTACAACAAAGACGTATTCGAAATATATTTGAGATGAGCCATTTTGAAAGTCGTAAGAATGTTTTTGTAGAGAAGGCTATATTAACGACTTTTATGTTAGTGAGCATGTTTTTATTTTTGTAGATATTATAATGTGGACTCTTGAGATCCATCTGTGTAATTAGAAAGACTATTTATTTACGAGTAGAACTATACAATAATTTTTCATCATATATTTTATATTTTTTTGTTGTCAACTATTATTCTCGTTTGTCTTCTTTGTTTATATGTATTTATTTGTATTTTATATGTCGTAAGTTTTTGTTTATTCCATTTTCACAATGTTTCATGCCTGCAGGCTTTTGTAACTTTTATTTATTTGGAACAAATAAATTATTATCTATCTATCAATCTTAATATACTGCATTGAAAATGAAGTTATGCTGCTTTTATATAACACGGTGTCAATCAGAGATACTGATATTTTTGATGAACTTGTTCAATAATTTCTCATACACAAACTAGCCTAAAAAATAAAAAACATGAGTTTGAGTCATATTTCAAGAATGGCAGCTCGCAGCAAAAATCTAGTTGTACCACTGAATTCTATGTGAAAAACTCTATGGGACTCAGTTTTCACCTTTTCGATAAGTTATAAGATAACCGATAAGACCGATAAATATAAGGGATCAAAAAATGCAACATTTTCAATTTCGCCCTGAATTTCAGGAACTAAGAGGGTATAAAAAAGTAGCACATCAGTGATGTGTAAACCGCATCTTGTAGCTAAACGAGAAACATTGCAAAACACACTAAAATGGGACAATCTGTATTTCAATAAAGCTCTTAAATTTTTTAAGTATATTTGACATGGTTTTCATATTGTATGAGTTAAGGTTCCCATTTAAAACAAAATGTTGATAGCGATATATGTCAAATTTGTTAAAAAATTTTCTTTAAAAATTATTTACAACAATTATAAATCAAGGTGTCCAAACATATTTCCCAAAAACAAACATGAGTGTACTCACATTTTAATTTGAAATTACATTATTTTTTCAATCTTTTTTACACGACGTCAGTTGAAGTCATATCTTCTCTCATTGGACAAATTATAATGCAAAACGGTAATAAGTAAAAAAATTACTATCAATATACAGGGTCTGGCAATAGTGCGTAATAAAAAACTTGTAATTTTGTTTAAGTGCAGACCTAAAGTATGTATTAGAATGTATTTCAGGAAAATATTTTAACTTCCACAGGGTGGCACAAAAAAATGTGATTGGCACGCGATGATTTTTTTTAATTGAAAACCCTGTATATTATTGCATTTTTGGCTTCCTTTCTGATCACTTTACATAACCCTAAAATATTATTAAATATGTTTTGATAGTTTCAGAGATATTAATAAAAAAAATTAAAAATATGCATTTCAGCTTTTTTAAAATAATCTAATAATAAATTAAAGATGGAAGAAATGTCTTGAAATCAAAACTATACTAGGCATTTTCTATCGTTGGTCTATACATACTTTCCTAAAAATATCATAATCTAAAATCATACAGGGTGTTCAAAATTTTATGCGAAACTTTTTAAAATATAAAATAGTTTTACACAATAGTTTACAATTTACACCCTGTACAATATTCCTTTGTTAAATGGAGAATCAAAAAATTAAGATTTTTTGTATTTAAAGTAATTCAAAAATTTTAACGGTTTTGCGAATATGCGTAATATTATATTACATATAGGGCTTTCAACAGTACTTTTTATCAAAGCCCGTAATGATTTTTGTCTGGTATTTTACCGTTGAAAGAGCCATATGTAATAAAAAGGCAAATATTTGCTACAACCGCTAAAAATTCTAAAATACTTTAAATACAAAAAATGTTCATTTTTTAATTCTTCAAAGAAATGACATACCTACAGTGTATTCCGTTTAAAATAACAAAAAAAAACTATTTTATATATTAAAAAGTTCGGCATAGAATTTTGAATACCCTGTATGGTTTAAGATTACGATATTTATAGGAAAGTAAGTACAGAGCAACTGTAATAAATACTTAGTATAGTCTTGATTTCAGGACATTTCTTCTATTTTTAATAATTAATTATTTTAAAAAAGGTTGAAAAAAATATATTTTTTATTTATTTGTTAATATCTCTGAGACTATCAAAACATTTAATAATATTTAGGATTATGTAAAGTGATCAGAAAGTAGGCCAGAAATGCAATAATATACAAGGTGTTCCAAATAAAAAAAAATCATCGCAATCCACTCACTCTTTTTTTGGGCCACCCTGTAGTTAAGTTACTTAAGTTAAAATATTTTCCTGAAATACCTCCTAATACATACTGTAGGTCTGCACTTAAACAAAATTCCTAAGTTTTTTATTAGGTATAGAAGCTACATATGTGCCCGACGCACTATTGCCAGACCCTATATAGTCTGTTCAAGGATAGGATCATAACAGAGAGTGATGTAATTTTCAATGAAAAGTAGTTTTTGGCTTAGATCTTATAAACTTCGTGGATAAATCTAGCCATAGTATATTACACACGACTTTGTTTACGGGACTTTCACATGCATTTTTCTATTTGATTCTTTCTAGAACAAGATTATCGTATATATCTATCCTTCTCTCTGCGTACGCTACTGAGCATGCGCACAACTATATTAGACGTAAATGCTAACTTGGAGCGTTTTTTTCGCTGCGTTGACAACAATTACTAAAAAAGACCACTAAAATTTTTCAATTAAGATATAACTGATACGTGTATTTATTATTTTGAAAATATTTGTCATATTATTTCCAATATACTTTTTATATATATTTTAAACAAAAATTAAATCATATAACGATAAATTCTTTTTTAAAAATGTTTTGATGATGAATGGGCAACACGTAGAAATCAGTAACCAGGGAAACGTTAAAGTATGTTTTGACATTGAAAAGTCAAAACATATTTTAATAAAATAATTTAATTAATGTCACATTTTGTGCTTTTTGTATACTGTTTGACTCGTGATAATAAAGAGTTAATTTGGAATTCCGACGAGATATTTTAGATTTGTGTTCTTTTTGAAAGTTTGTTTTTGTAGTGCGATAAAGTTAGTGGATAAATAGACATTATGACTGATAAAGGTGTTATATGTGAAGCTGTCCGCAATAGGAAAAATCTTATCCTTAAAAGAACTCCACAACACTATAAAAGTATGAAAACCTCTGAAGTATGTTCCATATTTTTGAAAAACAAGATATATATTATTTAAAATCGTTTCAACTGACTTTTATTCAGCGAAATACATATTTATGTTAGGTAACTTAATCACTTTAAATACTTATTAGGTAATTTACCTTTGATTTTTTTTCGTTAAATAGTTAATATCATGTTAATATACTAGTAAATATTATCCAATAAATAATTAATATCCGAATAACAATATTATTTTCTCAAATTTACATATTTACATTTTCTATTTTATGACATAAAAATGACATATATACAAAACAAAGACAGACCATTGGTCAATCAGTGAAAGACAAAGATAATCAGATAGTCGAATGTCGTTGATGTGTCTTCAACAAAAATTAAGCGAATTTACAAAGGAATTTACTTATCCACGAAGTTTATAAGATCTAAGGTTTTTGAATGTGGTCTGTCAAATACATCAATCACTGGATAGACCATAGATAAATGAAACAAGTTTAGATTGGAAAGTACCCATTAGGACAATGTCTGAATGTAACCACTATTTGGCGCTATTCTTGCAACGGTCGCGACCCAAAGCTTTTGATAATTTCGGATCGGTTCGGCTCTTTCGGGAATTATGTCGCCAAATATTATTCATTCAAATTTATTATTATTATCTTTTAATTTTATAAATAACATACATGTTTGCATACAAAAAAAATATTTTACATAAGGACATGCATGTGAAATACTTGAAACATTGGAAACCGGTGTTTTGTATCCACGATGGTTTTTGCAGTTCACAGTTCACAACACAATTTTTTAGTTTTTAATGCAACTTTTTCAGAATTATCAAGGGTTTGAGTAAGTAAAATTTAAATTAAACTCACAAGATAGCAATAATTACTTTAAGAATGGAAGCTTTAAACACTTTTCGGTATTTTTTCAATGGGGGGGTTTGAATTTTGAAAGATTTTACTTTACGGTTTGCGGTTGTTCTTAGAAACCGCTATATAAGCGCCAGATCGCGTACAACGGTCCCGACCCAAAACAATTATACCGGGTGCGTCTCAAAAGTGACTCACCCCTATAACTTTTTTTATTTTTTCAGATAAAAAAACGAGATTTGGTATGTCAGTATGTGATATATTATGTATATTAGGATTGACTGACGTATTCAATTGTTTTCGGTCACTTCCTGTTTCACCGGATATTACTACAACTTTTGATTTTTAAATGGCACACTTGGTATTTTTTTACTTTATTCGAAAGAAAATAACACTCTGAATATATATATTTTATATAACTTGCAGTTCGTAACAAAAATTTGACTCGAAATACGAAGTGTGTGGTATCAAATTATTCGTAAAAAATGCTTTTTTTCCAAATATGCTAATGAGCCACCCTCGTTCCATTTGAAAAAATTGAGATATGATTAAAAATACGATTTGAGCATTTTCTAACTGTCCAGGACAAGACACTATAAACATTAGACGATCAAATATATTTTTCCAAGGCTCCTTGATTAAGAATTACTGTTTTTAACATAGCCATGGCACTCTAGACTGAATTTTAAAATACGATTTTTTATTAAGCGAGAATGTCAAAAGTTGGCATAATATGATATGTCATTCTATTCAGAATGTCATTTTCTATCGAATAAAGTAAAAAAATATCGACGGTGCCATTTAAAAATCAAAAGTTGTAGTCATTTCCGGTGAAACAGGAAGTGACCAAAAACAAATGAATATGTCAATCAATTCTAATTTATGTCCCCCCCCATATACTAACATACCAAATCTCTCTCGTTTTTGTTATGTGAAGAAATAAAAAAGTTATAGGGGTGAGCCACTTTTAAGACGCACCCGGTATATTTTGACGGGCTTTCCAATCTAAATTTATTTCCTTTATCTATGGGATAGACTTTACCTATTAATAAAATTAATTAACCAAAGTATACTTACCTAACAACCAGTTCACTAAAAGAATACCAAATAGCCAAGAGTCCCAACTCAGCTCCAAAACATTTTAGGAGGACTCTCCACAAAGAAAAGTTGCTTTTCTTCCGATTTATTTCTTTGTTCCATAACTTCTCAATTTTATTTCCAAGATAGGTTGATTCGTGCTCATTTAAAATAGGAAATAGATCATCTTCGGATAGTGTTTCATAATAGCCTTTGTAGAATAATGGAAAAAGCCATCTGAAATAAATAATTCCAATTATTATCAGTCGCTTTTAGTGTGTAAATTACCAGTTAATCAGTACCTTGCTTCATTACAGTGATACACTGATAACGAAAATGTGATAATAAATTAACAAGACAAGTACTAAAGTGAAAATAGACCAAACTTGGCTTCAAAAAGGGCTGCCAGCAGTATATTTGAAGAGACAGCAAACAGTTGCTTAACGTGAATTGCAAAACACCTTTGCTTTTGTATGTTATGTTCAATTACTTCTGTAATAAAATTTTATTTTTCAAACCAACACAAATATTACGTACATATTTAAGCAATATACAGGATGTAAATAAATATGGAAGAGCAAAAAAAATCAGGCCAGTTTTTTTTAAATAATAGATTTTTCATACTTAGGCGAATGAAGTTATAATTAAGTATTTCATAAATAGTTAACAGTAAAAAGTTGAAAGTTAGTATGCAATTTCAAATAATATTATAGGTATACAGGGTGGCGCATCTCATTCGCCTCGGTTGATTATACAAAAACGGAAAGATGTAGAAATAAAATATTTTATGGGTACATGTCGGAAGGCAACGTGCATAATTTAAAATTATTTTGAAATGTACAGGGTGTGTCAGAACTAAGATCCATACCAAAGTTAGATTTTTTCTTATGGAGCACCCGGTATTTTATTTCATTTTTGGATTTTTGGACATAAAATAAGGCATTTATTGTAAGGGTTTGTTATACCTAAAAGCTTTGGTTTTTGAGATACTTAAAGATATTTAAATATGCATGCTACAATTTTAAGCCAGAGAAAGAAACTACTAATTTTTTTAGTAAAATTTATTTCTCTAGCTTCACAGTCACCACAAGAATTAACTCTGAAAAGTAACATACAGGGTCTTAACAAACTTTTTTATTATAGTATGTATATTTAAATATCTCAAAAACTAAAGCATTAAAACATATTAAACCTTAAAAATAAATTCCTTATTTTATGCCCAAGAGTCCAAAAATGAAATAAAATACCGGGTGTTCCATAAGAAAAAAATTTTAATTTGTTATGGATCTTAGTTCTGATACACCCTGTATATTTGAAAATAATTTTAAATTATGCACAATGCTTCTCTATATATACCCATAAAAAAATTATTTTCACATCTTTCCGTTTTCGTATAATCAACTGAGGCGAATGAGATGCGCCACCCTGTATATTATAACATATCCAAATAATAAATTATTATTTGGATATGTTATAGGGTATTCGAACAGCTACTTCACTTGTAATACTTTGATCACCTGAATCTTTTTGGCTTTTTATTTACACCCTGTAGTTTTAGCAATGAACTACCTTGTATTGTTTAGAAATGAGATATTATCAAGCCCATTATACTTTAAATATTTTCCTGCTAATAAGATGATAACATTTGTAGCACATCTAAACAAAAAATAAAGTTAGAAAAATTTCTTGTCGGAATTCCATGAAACAATTCTGCATATTACATAATCTTGCACACACCAAATTAGTTAAATCTAGTTTTTCATTTGTTTGTCATACACCTAGATCATTAATTTAATAAGTGGGCTCTGATTTTAACAGTTAAAAACTTATCTATTCTATATATCTTTTCTATATTAAATATTAAATTGTATAGATGTAATATTGATCTAGGGGGAAATACCTTCTTTCATTTAGGATTGGGCTATTTCATTTTTCTGTTGCAACAAAATTGCAAGTAATATTAATTTCATTTTTATAATATTCATATTATACTTATATGTAGCCACCTAAAATAAAAAAGAGTATATCTTAAAACTTATGCCTGCAAACAAATTGGGTTGTGTCTAAAATACCTTTACACCTGGCAACAGTGTTTCAGATGTTTTTATATGTTTTTGAGCTGCTACATGGAATCCTTAACAAAAAATATCCTACAAACAAAAAACATTATTCTTGTCTGTCCACATTCTTCTTTCAATTGAACTTTACACACATCTATTTTATAGAAATGTTAAACATTAAGCATTTAATAAACAATTAAAAAATAACAAATATTATTCTATAAGAAACACATTATACACCTAGCTGTCTAAAAGCATAAAAAATAAATAAAAAATATTAAATAAGTAAATTTATATAAAATACTTACATAAAAAATATTCTAGATAATATATTTGCTTTCTTATATGGGTGGATTGGGATAATTTTATTTTCTTCATTTTTTTGTGCCTTTTCCATACTTTATACTTCTCCAAGCAACTAGTTTTACAAGGAAGTCAGTATTAAATTTCTTCAATAAACTTGAACAACCAGATGGACACAATCTAGAAAAGATAACACTAATATATGAATATTCTGCCGGAAATTATATTTATTATATAAATATTACTGAAACCTTGAAATGAAAATTGTGAAACCTTGAGAATAATCTGTGCATGAATGGCATGGGAATATTTGTTTAACACTCGGAATCTACTAATTATCAGTCAAATGTCGGTAAACGATATTAAATACGTAAGTTAACGCAATATGAAAATATGAAATAGCTACTAATGTAACTGTTAAAATATTGAGTTTAATAACATTTTACAATGTTACACAATAAGATGAAACAATATCAAATTTTGCAAATAAAACATCCAATCTACAATTACCACAATTATTATAATATTCTTAAGAGCAATTTTTAGTATACTACACAAAATTGTAAATCAAAAATCGCAATAATATATTTTGTAACTGAATAATGTGAATTTTTAGAAAAGCAAAATATTATACTAAGTAATGTACTTACAACAAAAATTGAAGAATATTCACACTTGTTGCAAACAAACTATATTAAACTTTCAATGCCAAGTGCCAAGTTGTTATTAAGACTATTTATAAACTAAATCATTAATTAGTTATTTATTAAAATGGTTTAAAAAAAACAAATAAAAATTTATCTTCATAACCTATATGAATGGCACAGATTTAATTTAATGACAGTGACATCAAGTTCATAGAGGACGGGTCAAGTAGACAACAAAAAATTCTTGAGAGCCTTTTGCGTCAGTTAGTTAGTGACGTCATTTCAGGGCAAAGAAAATATTTTAATTATTTTTATATTTAGTTTTTTACTTGTGAATAATTTTTGAATGTTTTTTATACTATTTTCCGTTATATACTAATTAAGTGCATATGTACTAAAGTAGATTCAGTTCTATTTGATAACGGATTATAGGAAATGTAAATAACTCAAAATTGAAAAACAATGGAAGTTTTAAATAACTAACAGTATTATTTAAAATATTAAGATTTTATTTTTTAATCTTAAAACCTCTAGTTTAATAATTACTGTCTTATGATACTACTTTTTATTAAGTACAGTATTGGCACAAGTATGCACAAATGTTATTAGTAATTACGTTTTAACAGCATTAAAAAATAATTGTTCAAATAATGAGAATTATATTTTATTTTAATTAATTTGAATTTTAGTTCGACTTTCTTTTAGTTACACTCTAAGATATTTTATTTAAAAAAATATGAAATATACATCATATAAAATATAAAAATACATCTATACAATATACAATATTAATGTAAACTATTAAAATATTTGAATCACGGTGTATGAAATATCTTAAAAATGTGATAAAGTAAACAATTATTGAAAATACAAATTTTATCTCTACGTCCGACCTTATCTAAGAAACGCCCACTTATCAATTCATGAAATATATTACGACCATTATTGCAATTCCGCTATAAAGAAGGTTTATTATAAACAAACTCATTTTGCTGTACCCTGATGTGACGCCACAAATTTAGACAGAAACAAAACATTTATCTATTTATCTAATGTTCTTTGGTTTCGAATTTGACATAACGAAGAAATCTGCAAAGCTCAGTTTCCTTAATGTAAAAGCTCTCTCTGAGAGGTCACCACATGTAGTCCGATCAATTTAGCAATTTTTTTAAATTTAAAACTATACAATTTTAATTATTTTCAAATAAACTGTTGATTAATAAAATATTTATGATTTTATTAGTAGTAATCGCTACCGAAAAAAAAATATAGTGCAGGTACTTTAATAATTAGGCAATTATAAACAATTTTGGATACCCCTATAATTATTAAAAAAAAACTAATTGAAATAATAATTATAATATCTGCATAATATGTAATTCCAGAATATAAAATATTTATTTATTAATTATTGTCAAGTGCCAATATTTTAGGTAGGTACGCTTATTTTAAATGATCTTTAAATACGCTTTTTTTCCGGACCGTAGAAATATATCATAAAAAAGCGATACTACATTTGAAATATTTACAATAAATACTAAACTATTTTTATGTACCTTTGGCAACGTAGCCATTCCATGGCCTGCCTTAACGTTTTCTTTGGTAAAATTTTTAATAGTCAGCCTTTAACCACCTCGATTAAATTGTTCTCGTTAGTGACGTCCTGTCCTGTCTTTTGTTTTTTTTAATCGTTGACTTGTATATTATTTGTTAATTTGATTGTTACTTAATAATTTAATACCGTTTGGTTTGGTTTAGTTATCGGAAAATGTCGAGAAATCTGCTGGAAAGGATGAGTTTCCGCCAATCGTCGCGTCGCGAACATATTCCGCACGAACGCCTCCGGGATACGTCGCCAAGACAAAAACTTTCGCTCATCGGACGAATGGGATTATGTAAGTACCTATGATGATCTAAATTTACATGTTTTTTTATAGGCAGTGGCGGATTAAAGGGGGGGGGGAAGTTTTTTTTTCATTCAACTGGCAAACAAAGCCTATATGTGTTCAGTAATAGTTTTAAAGCTGTTTGTAGATGGAGTATGCAAACCATATACGTATACGCCAACTATAAAACTAAAACAGTATTATATTTTTAAGGATATTAATATTTAAGGAGGCAGATATTTACTTAATTATCAATTATCAGGCCCCAGTAATTGTCAATGGCATTTTCTATTTAGGAAATTAAATCAAGGGGTAATTTTCTTTGTTTAAAATATCGAATAATTATTATTTTTTATATATATTTTGAGACTGAATTTATTCATTTTAGCTTTTAAGTTATTTTTCAATGGTTTCATTATTTATTTTTACTGAATAAACATTTTAAATTACAGTCAATGCACAGCATAACTTGTATTCTAGCTTCTTTACCGATGATAAGCAGTGAAGTCTTTAGTACAGTGATTCCCAAAGTGGTCCAGGTGGACCCCCAGGGGTCCACGGGAGACTTGCTGGGGGTCTACGTAGGCGTGAACAAAAAATGGGGGTCCATAAGATGTTAATGGGGGTCCACGAAAATTTATCTGCTTTTGATAGTAAAGAGCAAAAATGTAAGCATAGTTTTTATAAGGGCCTACCTACATTGTTTTAAGTACCTATCTAAGCAGATAATATTTTAATAAGGCAAGCGACTGTTACTTGTCCAAACTTGCGTATTCGATATTACGTAAAATTTCGTGTACAGACTTGCAAAGCGCTATCCGCCCGACAATGCTTAATGCTTGTTCAGACATGAACTTGATCACCACTATAAATACTTGATGCCAAAGGCAAACGCATTCATTTGTTTCCGGAATTTCGAAAAAAAAGGCGGAATTTGGAAAAAAAAGTTGTGAGAAAATTTATATCTGTGTTTGCTAGTGCCGGAGAAAAGTAAGTAACCTACCTTTTTTTGTTATAGTACTTAAGTATTTTGTTTACGTGTACTAGTCGGTTGATCACAACGGCCTGTATAGATAGGTAACTTAGTAACTTACAGATATTTTAATTGTCCTCTTTCGATTTGAAGACAAACACGGCACGTTTTATTCAATTGTTTTTTCACGAGAGAAACACTGCCTCTCTAAAAAGGCCGAATAAGCAATATTGCAGAGCAATTAATTTTGTAATTTTTCTTGCAAATAACTACTAATTTTATAAAACAGTAATTTCATAATCATTTTAAATTGGTTTTGAAGTAACTATTTTATCAAAACTATTCCTTTTCGGAAAGAGCGAGCGGTGCGCGGGCGACGGGAAAGGGCGGGGCTTGGACTTCGATGCCAGTTTGTCACGTTTTAACAATGAAGCCGCAGACAAAAATACGCAAATACACGGAGCGCGTGAACTCATTGATTTAATAAAATGTTAGTTATCGTTTTTATGGACAATTTTGGGATTTCGACTTTTATTTTTTCCTACACAAATATGATCAGTATTCGATACTGAGTACACCAATTTTTATTTATACTATTAAAAATTAGTGGTAAATTATGTACTTTTAAAATTGATACCGTTTTGTGAAAACGTCTGTATTTGTCTCAGCGGTTTATTAGTTGGTCCCTTTACAAGCCGTAATTCTATTTCCGCGTGCTGACAAAGGCTGCGGTGTGATACCTATATTCAGAAAAAAACTTGGTTACTAAAACATTTTTTACAGGTAAGGTAACTGACACGAAACATGGCTACAGCAAAGAAAAAATGTCGACAATATAGTATCGATTATTTGAAATATGGTTTTGTTCCATCAGAGGCAGACAAACAATTGCCCATGTGCCTATTATGCAACAAAGTTTTGAGCAATGACTCTATGAAACCATCAAAGCTCGAAGATCATCTAAAAAGGTGTCATACTGATAAAATAGGTAAAGATTTAAAATATTTTCAAACATTGAAAGAAAAATATGGAAAGAGACCCACCATGCACAGTATGTTCGCTTCAACATCTCAAAGTAACGATGATGGCTTGCGGGCATCTTACAATATCTCATTACTTATAGCAAAATCTGGAAAACCGCACACTATCGGAGAACAATTAATTTTACCCGCTGTTGAAGAGGTTTTAAAAACTGTTTTGCACAAATCTCCATTTGACGTACTAAAAAGAATTCCATTAAGTAACAATACTGTACAAAGACGCATTGATGAAATGAGCTCTGATATCGAAAGCTTTTTGTGCAATCATCTGCAAAAAACTCATTTTTCTATACAACTGGACGAGTCAACGTTACCCAGTAATGAAGCATTACTATTGGCATATGTCCGATTTATTGTTGAGGAAGAAATTCACGAAGAATTGCTATTTGCCAGAACTTTGGAGACTGACACTAAAGGCGAATCAATATTTAATGTCCTGAGTAATTTTTTTACGGAAAAATCGATCCCATTTACAAACATTATTTCAGTGGCAACAGACGGAGCTCCTGCAATGGTCGGGCGATATCGTGGGTTTATAAGTCATCTCAAAAGAATTATACCAGGACTTACAGCTATTCATTGCGTAATCCACCGACAACATCTTGTGGCAAAACATTTAAGTGACAGGTTGAACCAATCTCTTCATTTTGTAATAAAAGCTGTCAACAAAATCAGAAGCAATGCATTGAATACGCGTTTATTTGCTCAATTGTGCGACGAAAATGATGAAGACTTCCAACGACTGCTCTTACATACTGAAGTACGCTGGTTGTCGAAAGGTGCATGCTTAACGAGATTTTACTCTGTTTTCGATTCCATATTAGAGTTCTTAGAAAGTAGAGATCCAGATTTAAAAGAAAACTTGATCAAATTCAAAGCAGACATTGCGTATTTGACAGATTTGTTTAAAAAATTTAATGATATTAACTTGCAGTTACAAGGGGACAGCCTGAATTTAATAAAAACAAAGGGGATAATTTCGGCTTTTCTTGGGAAATTGAAATTTATGAAGCAAAACATTAGTCGGCGCGAATTCTCTCAATTTCCAAACTTGTCGCAGGTAGAATGTATTGATGAGGATATCCATACCTACAGTCAACATTTAAGTGCTCTGCATGATGACTTCAAAACCAGGTTTGAAGATATACTGACGATGGATATACCACCATGGATCATAAATCCATTTGATGAAACGGAAGTGGCCAATGTTGTATTACAAGAGGAGCTGCTCGAGCTAAGCACTAATGAGGAGCTGAAGGTGAAATTTAGAAAAGGCTACCCAACATTTTGGCTGCAAGCAGAAATACCCGAAAAATATCCTGGACTGTGGGAAATCGCAAGGAAATTTTTAATAGCTTTTCCCTCGTCATACCTTATCGAAAGGAGTTTTAGTGCCGTTACAAACCTCTTAACAAAAAAAAAGGAGCAAATTAAACATCACAGAGCGGGGGATTTGCGGTTATTGCTCACAAAAATAAAGCCAAACATTGATCGTTTGCTGACACTCCATCAGATACATCCTTCCCATTAATTAAAATTATGACCTGAACCTATATTACCTTAATATTTTTCTTGTAATTCTATTCTTTTAATAAATAAAGTGATATAAAATGTACCATTTTTCGTTTTTATTTTACATATCGGAATATAGGGACAGAACTCAGAAGTGACACAATTTTTATTTTTTGGCGACTTTAAGAATGTGGTAGAAATGTAGCAGCAGGGGGTCCACCGAAACCAGTAAAATTTTGAAAGTGGCCCACGAGAAAAATAAGTTTGGGAACTACTGCTTTAGTACCTATAACGGGAGCCACGGGACAGCGAAGGGGCCCCTCGTATCTTGGAGGACTTACAAAATCGCGATATTTTGTCGCGGTTTTTCCCTGGAACGGTAGCGAAAGTAACGCGGCTCATATGTGGAAGCGGTATTTTCATCTATTTGTTATCATAAGTTGTCATTAAATACATACGAACATTCGCTCGGGGATATCCCGATCTAATACTGCAAGGAGCGTGAATTAGTATATGACTCGTTAGCAAAATTATATATGTTTAATACTTTTCTAATTTATTACAGTTGGGATTGCAACCTTTGGTGTTACAACAGCAAAATATAACACTAATTCACCACAATACACCAAAACACTTTACATTTGCACTTATTTGTTTTATTAAATCAAATTGCATTCGTTTTTCGATTTAAAAATATTATTATAAGCTTTAAAAAATTGATGTTATCGTTTTTCTGCAGCCTTTTTAGAGCTGGGGCCCTTAATACTCCTCGCGCCAGGGCTCATCAGGTCCCTACGTAAAGACGGCACTGTTGATGAGTAACATATTTATATCTATATCCACTTTTATTATAATTATTATAGTATACAGATTGTCCCAGGCTGAGCAAGCATTAGAAGTTTTTTCATTAGAAAAACCACAATATCTAGATCGAAGGTTTTTTGCACATCATTGTTTTAAAACAAGATCTATCGATTAAAAATATTTTCAACATGGCGGCACTTCCGGAAATACCGGAATTTGACAGCAACTTTCTTATTTTAAATGGGTGCCTCCTATTTTTTATTACATACTTAAGTTCTCTGTAAAATTCTATGAATATTGATGTTAAACACTATATCTAACATTAACCATTTTTAAGAAAAAAATATTTAAAATTTTTGGACGAAAAAAACTACCTGTCAAAAAAATTTGTACAGCCTAAAAGTCAAATTTAGTGATTATCACAGCCACTGTGACATAAAGAAAAGACATGTGGCTATCTATTTCAAAAATTAAATTGTTAAAATGTCATATAATAATGGCGATAGCTGTCATGTAATTGAGCGGTTAAAAAATTATCATAAATATTTTTTTTCAAATGGAAACCCACTTTTTTATTTCACTAGTGAAAAGGGTTTTCAATTTGTAACGTTTTAACTAGACATATTCCTATACCTAAAATAAATCGTTTTTAAGTTATTTAAGATTTAGTTTGAAAACGT